CTGCTGGGGGCCCCCTCTACACCCCCTCACTCCCCACCAGGTGTCTTGACATGGGTCTGCCAGGTGGAGGGAGCTGGGGTGTGCCACCCATTGGATCCTCAGAGGTGGCCCCTGGGCCCGAGTGGGCACGGCCTGAGAGAAGAGCTGGCCCTGCGTGTGGCACCCCCCTACCCACACACACATACAGACACACATGACCTTGTTAACCCTCGAGGCCTGGGCTCTGACCACTGCCTCCTGTTTGGAGGCAACAGGGGCCAGAGCCAGATGCTCACACCTGCTGACCAAAGCCATCACTGGCCTGCTGCCACACTTCTGTCCAGGTGAGCCCTGGCACCTCACCCTCACCCCGCCGCACACCTACCCCTGCCCACTGTGCTGGAGCGCTCAGTGCATGCCTGAGTCAGGGGGGGGGATCCACCTCCAGGAAGTCACCCTGGTTTCCCCACCTTTGGGGAAACTGAGGCCCAGAGAGTGTAGAACCCCAGCCGTCGTCCCACAGGGGCCCAGCCTGGGAGCCAGGCCTCTGCTTACGGTTCTCTGAGAGTCGGTCAACCTTAGCGCATGGACGGCCGCCGGTGACCCCCTCCACCCCGAGAGCGGGCTGCAGGTCTACCTCAGTCCCGGACCCCAATGGCACGTCTGCCCGCCCCGCTCACCTGCCCGTCAGACGTCACCTTACAGGATCCCTGGAGACCCCGCCCCGCCCCGTCGCCCCGCCCCTCACCTCGCTCGCGCACGAAGTAGGCCAGGTAGAGGTCCAGCTCTTTGACGGCGACGCCGATGTGGTGCGGCTGCACGCAGAGCACCGGGTGGCCGCACTGCGCGGCCTTGACCAGGCGCTCGCCGTCCGTGCTCTCCAGCGGGATGCCCTTGAAGAGGATGACCATGACCAGGTCCAGGCGCCACACCTTGTCGGCCTGCCGCAGGCAGTCGATGCGGCGCATCTTGCCCTTCTGGTCGGGGTTGGAGAGCACGCAGCCCGGCGCCTTCTTGCCCGTGATGGCTAGCACGAAGTCCTCGCGGCACTCGGGCCGGATGTCCTTGCGCAGCTTGGCCAGCAGCCGCGACGCCCACTTCTGCTTGACCTCGGCCTTCTCGCCCAGCAGCTCGTCCTTCACCGCCCGCTCCTCGTCCTTGGACATCCGCTTCTCGTGCTTCTTGAAGTACTTGCGCTTCCGCGCCTGCAGGTTGAACCAGGTGTAGGCGAAGGCGCGGACGTGAGGCAGCAGCGCCTCGATGAACGGGTGGAACTCATCCTGCGGGGAGGACACAGGTCAGCGGGGGCCCGGATGCCGCGGGCCCGCTCTCCTGGCCGCGAGACCGAGACCGGAGCCGGGGACCCACCGCCCGGGGTTGGAGCACACCACGGACACACCCACCGCCCGGGCTGCTGCCTGGACCCACTCTGAACCCACTGCCCACGCTGGAAGACTGACGTCCAGGGGCCCCAGGCAAGCCCAGTGCATGGGTAGAGGGGGCTACCCAGACACACCCCCACCCCCACGCCCCTGGGGCCCAGCAGATAGTCGTGCATGAACCCACTGGCCAGCTAGGAGAACTGAGGCCCAGGCTCTGGGGGAAGGCAGGTGAGAAACCTCGGCACTCAGTCAGGACAGACCCACCCAGGTGGCAGCGGACGGAGCACTGGGTACAGAGGGAAAATGGGGTGGGGGCAGGGAGAATGGGGTGTCAGGAACCCCTCTCCGGTTTATTTGTGCTGGGGCCTGCAGACGGTGTGTCAAGGGCCTCCAGGTTACTTCTAGCTTCACAAACTATCTGGTGTCCCGTCCCAGCCTCCGCAGACAAAGGATGGCCGAGTGCCAATAAAACTTTATTTACAAGAGCTGCTGGCTGACATTCAGGCTGGCGGCGGCGGTGGGGGCAGGACAGTGCATGCCCCCCACCACACACACACACACACACACACACAGAGACACTGAGTATAAAAAACGGACACTTTGCCACCAAGGGAGAGGTCGGTGGGTGGTTTGGGCTGCCAGGCGGCATCACGCAAGAAAGGGCCGGCAAGCGGCTCCCATTAAGATTGTGGCCAAGCAAATCCCGAGAAGCATTTCCATCCCATGACACGTGGGGGCGCCATGAATTGCGACCGACTTGGGGGGTTGGTCGGTTTGCAAGAGGCACACGGGAGGTGCCCGAGGATGCAGGAGGAGCCCCACTCAGAGAACCGGTACTTGGGGTCCATCCCTCAGATCCTCTGCAGGGGCCTGGAACACTAAGGCCCTAGGAGGTCAGAGGTCAGAAAACCAAAAAACTCCAAACTCACTCACTGGCATCAGGTCAATGCCAACTCACAGGGGCCCCACAGGGCAGGGGAGAACCACCCCTGTGGGTTTTCGAGATGGTCACCCTTTACGGCCCCATCTTTCTCCTGAGGCACCAGGATTAAGCTGAAGGGCGGGAGTAGGGCGCCCAGAGAGCTCTCTTACCCTGTCCCCTGTCAGTTCCTTTTCATGAATCCACTGTGTTGGCAGGGAAACTGGGCATTCAGGCATGATTCAGAGCAGGAGAGAGGGGCCTTGGGGCCTGCTCACCTGACCCTGTCCCTTAAAGACCCAGTACACAGATGGTGACAACAGAACCCCTGCCATCCCCTACCCCCAGCCCCCAGCCCCCAGGCCGAGCTGTAACTTCACCACTCTCGCGTGTGCCCTTTCCACTTCGCAGGGTGACCAACATGCCCATTTTGCTGCCCACAAAGCTGAGGCCCTAAGACCCAGCTCTACGGGACCGAGCTGGGACTTGAACCCACAGCCACCCTGCCCTCCCCATGCAAACGCGGAGGAAGACGTGAGCCTGAGGGATGTCTCCCCAGCGCCCTGCCTGGGATGGCGGAGAGCCTGGCCCAGTCTGCCCATTGCTCAGCAAGGGGAACAGGGTCGGCTGAAGTCCAGGACCTGGGCTAGCAGCCACAGGGATGTGCCAGGCACAGGGGCAAAGCTTGGGCCCACCTGGCCGAGAATGCCTCGCAGGGGCTGTGCGCCATGGAAGGAGGTGGCCTTCCTGCCCCCTCCTCCCAGCCTCCAAAGGGCTTGGCTGTCACCACCACAGCGACCCTGGGCTCTGGGTACACATCCACTGCCAGGGCTATGCACTATTAGGCTACCTATCTCCTAACCTAAAGAGGAGCCCTGGTAGCATAGCAGGTTACTGTGCTGGGCCGCTAATTGCCAGGTCAGCAGATCAAACCCACCAGCCTCTCCGAGGGAGAAAGACGAGACTTTCTACTCCTGTAAAGAGTGACAGTCTTGGAAACCCACAGGGACAGTTCTCCTGTCCAATAAGGTCGCGATGAGTCGGAATCAAGCTGAGGGCAGTGACCCTCACCTAGAGGTTGGCCATTTTAACCCACCAGGGGTGTCACGAAAGAAAGGCCTGGCAGATCTGTTTCCATGAGGGTTCGTGGTACTTCTTGTTGGGTGATGCGGGGAGATCTCACCTCCTGGCGACCCTACCCTACGCATGCCCAGCAGAACAAGCCTTTTCAAGGCTGTAACCTTTTCGGAAGCCGCCCCGCCAGGCTTTTCTTCTGAGGCAACGCTGGGTGGGCCCAGAGCGCCTCCTCTGGGGGAGCAGCTGCGTGCGCCTGTGCATCCAGAGCCGTCTCCCCGGAAAGATGGCAGCCAAGAGGCGCCAGGGTTGGGGTTTGGTTTTGCTGGGATTCTTTTTGTGACTCCGGGGAGTGACTGGGCACCGATGCATTGGGTCTTCGCAGCCCCTCTCTCCCCAAAACTCGGGGCACCCACGCCCAGCTCAGTGCATAATGCAGAAACGAAGGCTCGGGCCAGAAGGAACTGGGACCCTGGGACCCCGAAGGCCATGGCCGCCGCTTCCAGCCTGTCATGCAGGGTGCGGCTGTCTCAGGAGGCAGGAATGCCCCCAGGAGCACCTCCGGCCATGGGGCTGGGGGTTGGTGTGTGTGTGTGACATCGGATTTCACTTATTACCAGGACTCTGAAAATAGCTGCCCGCCCTCACCAGGGCGGGGTGGGGCTGGGGGCGGGGCTTGTGCCCTCTCCGGTTCGCCTACTTAGATGCACGCTCTCCACCCACCATGGGCAACCACTGTGCAGACTGGGCTTGGGTCCTTTTCCACCATCCTCTAAGCCCCCCGCTGACCAGCTGAAGTTGGGGAGGACTGAGGCAGCCCACCCCAAAACCCGTCTCCATGCAGACTCCTAGCTCAGATGCTAAGAGCTTATGTAGGGTCAGTCACACAGCTGTGCAGCAGAGTTGGACCCAGAGGCCAGGCCAGAAAAGCTCCCCCCCCCGTAGGAGGAGTGGGTCAGCTGTGGGATATTGATCGAGACGCACGTCACTGCCCCAGGAAGGGGTGCCAGGAGGGCACAGGGCCTGGACAGCGGGTGTCCACATGGGGCCATGGCTGCCACCCAAGGCTGCCACCCAAGATAAGAGGCAGCTGGGAAGGGGCAGCTGGGATCAGCAGTGGGGGAGGGGTGACCCTCAAGGCCAGACCTCTCTCTTCTGCCAGGTCCCCTTCTCTCTGAGCCGGCCCCAATCCGAGGCTCTCTCTCCCTGAATGCCTGGACTCTGTCCACCCCTCCCTCACAAAGTCCCCCTCCCCGGGCCACCCTCTCCCCTCTCTAGTGGAAGGTGCCAGGGAGTTGGCAGGGGCAGGCACCCACATCACTGGAGACCCCTGTGGTCATGGAGGCAAGAAGACAAATGGCCGTTGACTGGGTCACAGACCTGCTGCCCCATCCTCCCTGGGAGGTTAGGTTGGGCGAGGGATGGGTCCTGTCCCTTTCTTTGTCACATAAGACCTCTTCTTCCCCAGCCACCTCCAGGGCCCTCCCGGCTGAACAGGCAAAGGAGACAGGTGAGGCAAGCTTCGTGCAGAGCATCCTATCAAACTCCTACACATCCCTCAATGCCCAATCTCTAGTGCCCCCTCCTCCAGGCATCTTTTCCTGCTTTCTCGAGCCTCTGCCAGACCCAGCATGAACCACATGGGGTTGGAAGGGTCTCTGAATTCAGCTCACTTGTTTTCCCCACCGCAACTCACCACCCCCAGGCCCCCAATGCAGGGCAGATGCTGAGACAGAATAAGACGGGTGGGGGTGGGGGTAGGGGGGTGGGGGTCGGTATGTCACTCCATGCACCACCTGTGTGACACTACAACAAATCACATGGATCTATTGAATGGGCAGGAGGGAACATCACAGCAAGTCTGAGAAGAGGGGCTTGTCTATTGCTCTGATAACCAGAGAGGTGAGACTGGGGTGGGAGGGGAAGACCAAGCCAGCCTTTCCTGGAAACCCCAGCTTGGCCCATTGGGACCTCCTGGTCAAAGAGGGCAGCCGCAGCTGCAGTGGACACTTGGATCCCAGCCCTTCACGGGCCCCTATGTGCTGGGCAGGTGTACATTGGATATACCTGCTCTGCCACACTGCCACACTGACAGCCCAGGGTAGCAAACCAGGGGGCCTGGGATGCTACTTCCCAAGCTCAAAGGCTAGAACCATGTCTCCTGCACTCACTCAATGACTCCAGTATCATGACGGAGCATGGACTTGACTCACTTCTTGAGCACCGATTGCGAACTCCTACACATCCATCAAAGCCCTGGGTCCAGTACCCTACCCTCCCTATACATGACTGGGAGGCGGCCGAGCTCACACTGCGGCTCAGGCCCATCTGGCAGCATCCTTGGGGTCCCTGTCATTGGGGTGCGCCATTGAGCCCACCCTGACTCACGGCCCCACGGGGCTTCCTCAGCTGTGAACTCTTTGGGATTAGATTGCCAGGTCTTCACTGGTGGGGGCTTTGAACCAACAGTTTTTGGGTTAGCTACCAAGTGCTGAACCACTTGCACCAGGGCTCATCGACTGACTCTCAATCCCGGGTCACTCCTGTCCCCGAGCCTGGAGCACTGGATTTGAGGAGCATGCTGTGTCGGCCATGCAAGGGAGGCATTCGCTCAGCTGCTGTTCGACAGTAACTGAGTGGCCAGCGGCAAGGACCTGGCAGTGACCAGGGCTCAGCTCCCATGGGCTGTGGACCCGAGGCCACGCTGGATGCCAAGGAACTGAATGAGCCCCAGCACCCCCCCCCCACTGAGTCAATCCTAACTCATGGTGACCCTGGGGGAGGGGGTGTTCCGAGGCTGTCAATCTGCAGGGGAGCGGACAACCTCACCTTTCTCCCACCGAGCAAGGTGGGAGGTGGGGTTTGAACCGGCGACCTTGAGGTGAACAGTCCTACGCCTGACCTGCAGCGTCACCAGGGCCCCCCCAGAAATAAATAAGTGTGAGGCCTGCTGTCAGGCAGGACCCAACGTGCTGAGATGTTTTCGGGCGATCTGAGAAGCTGGAAGCCCTGGGGAGACTGGTGCTTTAGCCAGGGCTGAGGGGCTGGGAGGATGTCTCCAGAGATGAGGGGACAATTTGAGAGAGGGAACTGGGTCAAAGGTGCTGAAAGGCCACAGCCCCCAGCCCCAGAGGAGCTTTCCGAGTGGAGGGAACAGCACGTACAAAGGCCCTGAGGCAGGCAGGGGCACGCCAAGTGGCAGAGAGTAGACTGAAGGGCCAGGGAGAGGCCACAAAAGGCCTTGGGCAACTGCCTGTCTAAAGTGACTAAGGAACCCGGTAACGGAACCCCCCTGACCTCCCTCTCCCGGTGACTTCCTGCCTTGATGTCCCCAGGAGGGCAATGGGGCAGGCTGGGGATGAGGGAGAGAGGTGGAGAGGGGCTGTCACTCTCACAGAGCCTGACCGGGCCACCTCGCTCCAGGTGCCACTGAGGGAACCTCCCTGACACCCATTGTCAGAGCAGCAGGCCGTGAAGTCACATGGCCACGCTGGGACTTGAACCCAGGCCCCTCTGACCTTGGACTTCCTGCCTTACCCCAGGAGTTCCTGAGCCCCTCGGCATGGCCCCTGCCTGCTCTCCCTGGCTCCTCTGTGGTCCTCAGCGGGCTTGGACCTGGAGTGCCACCCTGTCCTCCAAGTGGCCTGCCCCAGCGGAGCCACTGCAGGTGGGTCCTCCTGTCCACTCAGGGCGGCCTCACCTGTCCTGGGCCCACCATCTAGGTCAGCCAAGAAACAACACTGTCTGCTGCTGGAGTTGCAGGCATACCCCCCACCTCACCCCCAACACATACACACCTCACAAAGGCGGTGGGGGCCTGTCTGGGTGGGGCCCAGCTCAGGGGGAAGCTGGGCAGGGCAGGGCTGGGCAGGGAAGTGCGCGAGACCACCAGAACAAAGCTTGTGGTGGCCGCAAGGGTCCGGCGGGGTCCCTGTGTCCCCATTCCTGGCCCAGGGCCTGGCTCGGGCTGGGCACATAGTACCAGTACAACTCCCTGGACAATGCCCACAGGGTGTTTAACTGGTTGTTAGTGTGGCAGTGACAGGGCACTGATTTGGCGCCTACCATCTAACAGGTGGCATCCCTGGTGGCGTAGTGGGTTATGGGTCAGGCTGTTATCCCCCAGGTCAGCAGTTCAAAACCACCAGCCATTCCTCGGGAGAAAGACAAAGCTCTCTACTCCCATAAAGAGTGACAGTCTCGGAAACCCCCAGGGGCCGCTCCACCCTGTCCCACATGGTCGCTGTGAGGGTAGACTCGATGGCAGTGAATTCTGAGTCTGAGGACACCGGGCACTGGGCGTTCACCCCAAAGGTTGGGTCAGCCACAATCGCAACCACAAGAGCATTTATTTAGCACTGACTGTAAACTTCCTGAGGGAGGCAGAATGACACCCCCACTCCCGTCATGTTATATGGGGGAGAAGGTTAGGGTGCCAGGCCGCAAATCTGCACTCAGCCAACACTGTGACAAGCCCCCCTCCCCAGATGTCCTGCTGCCCGGGGACCCCAGGGAAAGAGGGTCCCTGTCACCTGCCTCTATGCTAGTAAAGTGGAGGTCCCGAGGGGCTAGGTCAGTTACCCAGAGTCACACAGCTAGAACAGAGCCCTGACTGCGACCCTCCGGAGCGAGGCCCGCATCTGCTGGACCCCCATGGGAGCCAGGGGAGAGCTGCGGACCCAGGGGTGCTGGGGCGTGTGACTGCTGCATCTGTTGGAGGTGTGGCTCAGGCCCATGGGGAGCCCTGCGCTGCGTGTGAGGGGGTGGGCTTGCTCACAGGAGAGAAATGGGTGCGCGCGCATATGTGTGCATGCGTGTGCGTGCGAATATGCATGCATGTCTGTGTGTGCATGCGTGAGTGTGTGTGTATGCTGGCATGAACATGTGAACGTGGGCCAAGGGCTGGGCTGTGTGGGGCCGGGGAGCATTTGGTATGAAATGGGGTGGGGGTCTGAGGCACGATGGGGGGAGAGAGTGAAAAAGGGAGAGGGGAGAAAGAGTAGGGGGAGGATAGGGAAACAGTGAAAGAGAGGAAGAGAAGGAGGGAGGGGTAGAGAGAGAGAGAGAGAGAGAAAGGAAGAGTGGGAGGGGGGAGAGGGAGAACGCTGACTGGGCTGGAATCCCAGCTCCGTGATTTACAGGGCGGGCAGGCGTCCGGACCAGCACACTGGGGCACCTCCGCTGCAGAGAGGGGAGGGAGAGAGAGGGATATACAGAGGGAGAGAGACACAGGATTGGGGGGCAGAGGAGCCGGGCAGCAGGTTCATGAAGGGGACACAGGAGTTGTCCCTGCTAAGCCCAGAGCAGGCCAAATGGTTAGTAGGGAGTGGCCGCAGCCCAGCCTCATCTGCGCTGTGCCACTCAGAACAAGCCCTGACCCTCTCTGGTCTGGCTTCTCTCCCCGCCCTGAGGATTCCGGGGACCTCCAATAGCAGCCGAGAGCTGACACCGCCTCCCGCCCCCTCTCCCCAATCCTTCTAGGAGTCCAGAG